TTTCCAATTAACCACCAGAACACCGGAAGTGGCACTGTGGTTTAAGTGGCAGAGCGCTAACCTTGAGCTGAAGAGCTCAGGGATAGCACTGAGGCCCAGAGTTCAAGCCCCACTGCCAACACACACACCTACACCATTGGCTCACAAACACACCAAAAGCTCAGGAACAGTGTCCAGGCCCTGAGTTTAAGTCCCAGGATGGCGTGGGGATGGGGGTGGGGAAGAGAGAAAGAGAGAGAAGGGGGGGAGGGAGGGAAGCAGGAGAAAGAGAGAGAGAACACTACAGTGCTAAGAGAGGAATTTTCTTTTTTGGGGTCCAGATGTGGGGCCTGAACTCTAGGCCTGGGCGCTGTCCCTCAGCTCTTCAGCTCAAGGCTAGCGCTCTACCACTTGAGTCACAGCACCACTTCCAGCTTTTTTTTTCTTTTTGCTTATGTGGTGCTGAGGAATCGAACCCAGGGCCTCAGGCATGCAAGGCAAGCACTCTACCACTGAGCCAACTTCCCAGCCCCAAGAGAGGGATTGTCTATCCAGCTTCCATCCCTACAAAACTTCAGACCTTAGTATTTGTCTCTTGCTCCTCAGTTTGGAGATTGTTCGCCACTGAGTTGCTAATTGATTGGCAATGATATAATGCACCTGTGAGAGAAAAGTGATTATATGTTGAGGAATAACGCTTATTGATAATTAAGTGTTTCATGGCTTCTTTGCTTCCCCAAATGGAATAAATAAATATTTTACACATAAGCAAGTTTGTTTCCTCTATTCAGGCCAAACGGCAGAGATATTGAAATTATATAGATCTTTAAAATACTGCAAATGAGTCCTGACAGGGAACAGTTGTTAACTAGGCATCCCAGGTACACAGGTTTGACATGTAGGCAATCTCCTTTCATCAGGAAAATAATTTTTGTGGTACTCACATTTTGAGTCTTGTAGGGTTAGCGAAGAGACCATAGGGAGACCTGCCCTGCCCTTCCCCTGTAGCAGTCTGCATTTTAATTCTAGTCTCTGAGCTCTGCTTAGTGGAAAAATGGGGTCTGAGAGGGTCTTGAAGTATAGGGACCCTAGAGTCCAAGCAGTGATTTATACAGTAGTCTATGAAGATGTTGAGTGGCTGCAGAAACACAGCTTTTGTATCTGGGAGCTCCCAACCTGGCCTTATGGCTCTTTGACTCACCCTGGCCTCCATTCCAGGACCAAGTACACATGCTTAGCTGCGAAGGGGCTCTGAACCAAGCTATGCTCTGTCTCTCAGAGCTGTGTCCTTCAATAACAACTGGCTTTGTCTTCCTTGCAGTAGCCAACATAGGCTTTGATCATTCTCCCACATACTCCTGCCTTTGGTCTAGAAGGAGTTAGATTGGCCAAATCAGCAGGCCTGGCACAGCCGAAACCTGTCACCTCACTGCATGAGCGTCCTGTGGCTGCCATAACCAATTACCACAAATTTGGTAGCTTAAAAGCATAGAAATCAATTCTCTCACAGTTCTGGAGGCCAGGACTATGTTCCCTGCAAAAGCTCTGTGGGGCCAAGCATGGTAATAATTCTAGCTACTTGTGTGTCTGAAATGAGGAAGATCATTGTTTGATGCCAGCAGAGCAGAAATGTCTCAGGACCTCATCTTGACCAGTAAAACTGTGGGTACAATGGAATATGCCTGTCATTTTAGCTATGCAAGAAATGTAAATTGGAGGATCTTTGTTCAGGCTGACTAGTGGTGGGAGGGAAGCAAAAAGGGCTAGAGATATAGCTCAATTGATAGAGCACCTCCTTGGGCAACATAAGGCCCTGAGTTCAAATCGCAGAACGACTTAAAAAAAAATTCTGTGGGCCAGTCATTCTTACCCCTTCAGCACATCGAGCTGCTCCCACTGAATTCAACACATGGCGACATCACTCCGTTCTCTGCCTACCTCTGCCTTCCCCTGGCCTTCCTCATGCACTTCAAGTGTTTCTCTGTGCCTCAGTCTCCCTCCCCTCAAGAGAAGTCTCCCTCTTAGTCTCCTTCTCTTATAAGCACAACCGTCATTAGCTACTGGGCATGCCCTAAATCCATCCACCACAATCTCCTTCAGGATCATTGATGTTAATTACATTGGCAGAAACCTTTTTTCCAAATAAGATAAGGTTCTTGAGTTCCAGAAGTTAGACACAGGTACCTATTTGGAAGGTCTCTATTTGACCTGTTATACTCATCATAACTAGCATAGGGAACCCCAAAATAAGTGGCCCAAGTAATACCCACCAGCTAGAAAAGTTACAGTGGGGTGGGACTGTCCCTGAGGGGTCTCCTGACTCAGCCTTTTGGGAAACAAATTGCTAAAGAGAGGTTTGGGGAACAAATTGCTAAAGAGGGTGAATTGTAGGAAGAGGTCTGTTGATCTCTGTGTCCTCCAGTGCTGGGACTGGTCAATGCAGGAGGGGTTGAATCAGTCTTGAGGCATACCTCAGTGATGGAGGTGTATTATTAGCAAGGTGCTTAGATCTCAGAAGTACTGAAAGGGCTCCTTTAACCATTTACTTTATATGTAGTATGTGCTGGAGGGTCATCTTCATCTCAAGATACCCACCAAGCCCTAGCCCTGCCTTGCTTGAAGTTGGCACTGGCCTCTTCCTCTCTGGATCCTCTAGAACCCCCTCCCAGTGGACATTTCAAAGAGCAGTGGGTCTTCATCCCTTCTTGTAGGGCCAGGTAGAGTCTGTTCTGTAGGAGGATGGACAGGAAGAAGGGGATGAACCAAAGTGATGCAGGTCCCTGCTTAAAGCAGAGCATAGCCCACCTGCATGGTGTAAAAGCCTCTCCCCCTCAGCCTCCTAAAATGCTCCCGAAGGAGAAGCAAGCACTAAAGCCCCAAGAGAGATACTTGGGCACTGTCTCTGGATTTGACACTCATCCAGCTCTGCAGTAACAGTTGAGACCAAGGGCCCAGGAGACACCCAAAGAGAGGGAGCAGTCAGTGCTGTAGCTTTGTCTCCAGGGACCTGAATTAGGAAGCATGGTGGAGGAGGACCAGCATATAAACTAGTGGACTGGTTTTTTGTGGTGGGGAGAGGCTCATTTCATACATCACATCTCATGTCTGTTTTGGACCTCAGAGACCCAACTTTTACCAAGTAACATTGGGAAACTCACCAATGTTTCAGCCCCTGAAGCAGATACTCCTGTGTCTTCTTTAATGTCTAATATCCGCCTTACATGTCTGAACAAGCTGGGCTGTGCATTCTGGGAACATAGTAATGAACAACAGACACTGCCGATCATGACTACGTTTGTGTGCTGTTCCTAGGCTTCTGTTTTACTGTTGTTTGGGAATAGGGAGTGGCCACCTTTTCCCAGAGACTCTGCTAGAGCCTGTCCATGCTATGATGTAAAAGCTCCATATATCAATTTCCTGAGGTCTCCTGGTATTCCTGAGTTGGATCTATGAGCCAGAGGTGTTTGAAAAATTCCCTCTTAACCTTGGGTTGCTGGGACCCAAAGTAGACACTCATTGACAGGAAGAACTAACATACCAGATCAGCCGTTCATATTTTTGGCTTCCCACTTGGTATATCTGGCTTTTGTGTTTGTGTGTTTGGGGAGAAGAGTATTTTAGTTGGTTTAGGCTACATAGCAAAACACCATGGTTCATAAACAGCAGAAGTTTCTCATAGTTCTCGAGGTCAGAGGTCAGAGATCAAGGTATCAATGTGGGCAGTTCTTCCTGGCTTACAGAGAGCCTCCTTCTTATTGTAACCTTACTTCACAGAGAGAGAGACAAAACAAGCTACTTCGTGGCTTTTTGTAAGGGCACTGTTCCCAAGCACAAGAGCTCCATCTTCATGACCAAAAGGTTCCTCTTCCTAACAGCCCCACGGCTCTGGGAGGTAGGGTTTCAACATAGGAATCTTAAGGATAAGGGATGAAACAAAACTCAGCCCATAGCAGAGAGCCTTGAAAGTGCTGATTTGGGTTGTGATCTGAGGTGTGTCTAACCTCATACCACCTTAATTTACAGGTACACAATGCCCAGCCCAGAGCTGGGGAGTGACTCCTCCGGTTATAAATAGATGCCTGGTCAGAACTGGAACCCAGGCCCTAGCCTCCTCAGCACATCTGTGCCTCTGCCTGTGTCCCCTCCCATGTTAGTGCTAACCCGGCAGCAGTGTTCCATGTGAGGTGGGGTATACCCCGTGTGTGGGGCCACATGGTACCGCAGTGATTACCGAGTGGGGTCACAGATGGGGCCGCATGCTGACAGCGCTGTCAGGGGTGGGAAGAGAAGAAAGGAAGGGGCCGGAGGGTGGAGAGAGGTACTCAGGATGCCGAGCAGCGGTCGCCTGCCAGAATCCTTCAGTGCAGCTTGTCTAGCAAAGCCAGTCTCCAGCCGAGTAAATACAGTGCATAGCTGACGGGCTGACAGCGGGTATCACACAGTCTTAAACTGCCTCAAATCCACAGCGCTTTTGAAGCAGCAATAGAGAAAGGATGCCCGCGCAGAACAGAGGCCTGCAACTTTTAATAGTTTCTTCCAGGCCTCAGGATGTCCTGATGAGGTATTAGAGGAAGTAATTCAGGAAGAAAAGGACAAATAACTGCCTCCGTCTGGAGGCCAACCCGAGCTTTGGCCCTTCCAGCTCACAGAACGGGCCAGCGTGGCTCAGCAGTGAATCCCCTCGCTGTCATTAGCTCACCCTTCTGCCTCCTCCAGCAGAGCTACAAGGGTCTGACCCTTGTAAATAGCAGACAAGTAAATTTCTTGTTTGCTTGGGGGCAAATGTAAGCCACACAGTGCTCACTGCTTATGAGTGAAATCGCTAACAGTTTCTCACTGTGAAGGGTGCTATGTACAAATTGGAATACATTCCCTGGACCTCCAGGCCATCCATCCCAGGGACCTGCCTCCCCTACCTATCCCCAAGATCAGCAGCCTCTGCACAAAAAGACAGAGCTGGCCTGTGAGAACCACACTCACCCCTCCTCTCTCCTGTTTTCTCTCTTCCCTCTTTCCTTTAGGGTTTGGCTTTGTCACTTTTGAGAATGAAGATGTTGTGGAGAAAGTCTGTGAGATCCATTTCCATGAAATCAATAATAAGATGGTAAGTCTCGGGAGGGGCAACCCTTCCCCTGTGTGCACACACCTGTCTAGCAGATCACTGTAGCCCCAGCATCTTGGGTGCTATGGGCAAGGGTGGGCATGAAGACTAGACTCAGGGTTCAGCTGTGAAAGAAGTTGCTTAGAACAGGTGCCAACATATTTCTTTTTAAAAGGCCAAATGGTAAGTAGCTTCTGCTTTGTGAATGGGTATCATAACTACTCTTGTGGTGTTGGGGCCATAGGTACATGAATTAATGGGGCAGTGTTTCAGTGAAGCTGTGTTTGTGGACACTAAAATTGAAACTTCCTTGGTGCTGGAGTAGGGTAGGGTTAGGCAAGCACACTACCATTGTGCTACATGGCTAGCCCACAAAATAAGTATTTTACAACTGTTTAAAAATATTTTAGAAAAGAAAAAAAAACATTTTTAACTCTTAGATGTAACAGAAACAGACCAGAGTGTCTGAATGTGGCTTGAGGGGTCATAATTTTTTTTTTTTTTTTGTCCGGTAGTGGGGCCTGACCTCTGGGCCTGGGCACTATCCCTCAGCTCTTCAGCTCAAGGCTAGCGCTATACCACTTGAGCCACAGCGCCACTTCCGGTATTTTTTTTTCTTTTTTTTTGCTTATGTGGTGCTGAGGAATCGAACCCAGGGCCTCAGGCATGCAAGGCAAGCACTCTACCACTGAGCCACCTTCCCAGCCCAAGGGGTCATAATTTTTTGACCCCTGGTTTCAGATATTTTTGCCTTGGAGGAATATATTCTAGGTAAGAAGTTTACCAAGCTAATTCTTTTTTGGGTAATGAGCAACACACACACACACGCACACGCACACACACACACCTCCATACAATCAGTGTGGTATTTTCTGCTCTCATGATCAGATGGTTCCTTATACCCTTTAAAGTTTGGCTTCCCGCCAGAGCAACCTCAAGAGGAAGGCAGATTGGATGTTTATTGAATTCTGGGGAGCCAAGTTAGCCTCCCTGGAAAGTGGCCACTAGAGGGCGCCATGCCACATATGGCATGTGCCTCAGCACTGTCAAGTAGAATAGGGGGTGAGAAACCCCTTCATTGTCAATTTTAGGAAAGAGAGAGAGAGAGCTTGGCAGGTGGTTTTGGAGCCATCCACAGGTCCTCTGGAGCACAAACATTTTGGTTGGCCAGCAAAGCCTCCAGCGCTGAGAGAAGAGAACAGGCAAATTTGTGTTTCAGTCGCAGCTGTGACTTTGATATTTTCTCCCTTTTGTCAAAACATTCCTTGCTTCTGAAACATGCATTCAGATGTGCATTGTATATTGGTCTGATATGTGTTCACCAACTTTAAATTCAATAATAGAGCTTTTAGTGTGGATAAGATCAAAGCAATCTGCTTAGCATGTGGTGCTACAGGCCTGATTCAATATTTGACTTGCTAATTTTTTCCCAGGGCACTAAAATAATATTGTTCATATTGTTCCTAGCCATCATATGCATCTGAAATGAAAATACTCTTTTTTTTTTTGCATACTGTATGTCGGAGGCATCCGTGCAGACATTAAAATAGTATAAGGCAGATAAATGTGTGGGAATGACGCAGGTCCTTTGTATGCTTTGTCTGTCCTCCAAATGCCATTGCCTTCTAGTTGGTGTTCTCTCTCTCTCTCTCTCTCTTCTCTCTTTCTCTCTCTCCTTGCTATTTTTAAAAGTAGAGAGATGGAGAACTTACACATGAGCATAGTACCCAGATGCTTTGTTTATCCTAGGCAGAGCATGCTATTGACAGGCTCCAGAGAGGCCACAGGGCCCTTGTGGGGATTGGAAGAGGCAGTGGGAAATGCAGGCTAGGACTTACTGGATCTTGGGGGGAGTTCTGATGCAAGCAAGACCCCACTCTCTACTCTGCTTCAGATGCGGGTGTTCGGTCTTCACTATTGATGGCTTAGAAACAAGCATGAGACATGGGTGGGACAGGCTTCACCAGAGGGGAAACTGAGGCCAGGAGCTTGCCGAAGTACTACCTAGATAACAAAGGAACATAGATAGGCCGTGAGCTTACTGGACATTCATCGAGACAGACAACTGTCTGAACTTAGGTTGGAAAGTCACTTGAGGAAGTGACTTAGGAATGGAGGTCGTTCCAGTTTCCTCTCTGCTGGAAGGCAGAGAGGTTGGCAGCCATTTCCCAAGTCATTTAACATTGATTGGGATCGTCTCTTCCACCTGGGTGGAGGCTGAGTATGACCATGTAGGTGTCTCTGGTGACTCTGGTGTGACTTTCAATTTGCCTTTGTACCCAGGGCTGGTCCTAGTTCTTCAAGAGATAAGCAAAAAATGCAAGAAAAGAAGAGGAAAAGATGGGGGCAGAGGGGTTAGGATGCTAAGCTTTGGTAAGGTAGCAGTCTAGGTTCCTAGCCTAGACACACCAGTTTTGAAGGCTACAGTTCAGAGCATCCTCGGTGGGGACCTGGGGTAGGTCACAGGAGGTCCAATTAAACAGGGCTGAACCACCTCCCGGGGCTGTTGGACGTTTAGTAAAGGGCTAAGCACAGTGCCTGCCCCAGGATGTGCTCATAACCATTAGCTCTTGCCAACTATTGCATCACCATTGTATTTGAAACCTCTTTTTCCAGCCAGCTCCCTCCACTCTGAAGAAGGGTGAAACTTTTGGTAGCAGAGCCTGCAGCCTGAATCGAAAATGCAGTTCAGCTATGCTATGGGCAGAATTCAAATGAGAGAACTAGAAAGACCAACAACTCTGAGATCACCAGACAGGCATCCAGGCAGCTGTTAGTGCGACTAGAAAGGCCAGTCTCCTCCAACCCTCACAATTTCTGTGGGCTTTGGCAGGAGCCAGCAGATAGCAGTGCCCAGCATCATGGATGTGGCTAACGTTTTCTCATATTCACAGACAGGTCTTACCACCAGAGTCACAGAGATAGTTCTCAGTTGAACCCTCAAGTCTATACTTCTTCTGCAGATCAAAAGGGACTTTAAAGAATGTCTAATCCAGGCGCTGGTGGCTCACGACTATAATTCTAGCTACTCACGAGGCTGAGATCTCAGAATTAAGGTTCAGAGCTAACTGGGGCAAAAAAAAAAAAAATCTATGAGACAGTTATCTCCAATAAACTACTCAGTGCCAGAAGTGGCACTGTGGTTCAGTGGTAAGTGCTAAGTTTGAGCAAAAAGAAGCTCAGGGATAGTGCCCAAGCCCAGAATTCAAGCCCCAAGACCATCAAAGAAAAAGAAAGAATGTTTGGCTGGCCTATAGCCCCTCTATGGCCACATTGGAATACTGCTGCCTGAGGCCTAATGTAGGATATCTGGTTCCTAGACTTCCTAGGGGAAAGGCAGAGGAGACAGCTCACCTGGCCGCATTCCTGGCTAGGGAGAAGGGCCAAATGTGCAGTTAGGAGTTTTAGTCAGTCACAGACCAGATCCAAGAGAAGCAGGTGTACAGTGAGCAGGGTGTGGGGGAGGAGAGAACTGTCTGCCAATCAAGCTCAGGGTACAACCCTTAAGAGCTAAGACTCAGCCCCAGCCAGGGTGAAATGCAGACTTGACTCTTTATCCACAAACACACAAAAGCAGGCATGGAACTGCCTCGTGACCCTCTGGCCACTCTGCAAGGCCCCATGCAAGTTCAGCTAATAATGCCCCCCACCATGTCCCCCTGATTGAAGCAGCCCCTGAACAGCAGGGACACTTGCTGATTAGTCGCCAGAGCCCGGCCTCCACGCGGCCTCCTGAGGAGCCAGGCAGCTGCAGGGAGGTAGAAACTGACAAAGAGCCAGCTCTGGGTTTCCTCAGAGGCCTGGTTTAGCCTCTACCATTGAAATAATGCCAGGGAAGAAAAGCTACCCTCACTGGATGAGAATTTGGGGTACAGTGTGAGACGTGCTGGGTAGAACCTTTTCCTAGATGTCGGACACAGGAACTGGGGGTTACAGGTGCTGTACTAACACTTTGCAAAGTGATGCAAAGTTTCCCTCCTCGCAGCCTTCTGTGCGAGTCCCAGTCCATTTCCCCAGGCCCTGGAGCTCCGTGGTGGGCCAGTCATTAGTGGCAGAGCTGGGATGTGACTCTGTGCTGCTCTACTCCCTAAACCCTCTGCTAGGAGAACTATGTGTGTATTTACCTTGCTGCCAGCTCAGTCAAGCATAATACATGAAAAATCTGAATGGACTTGATGAGCAACCATAAGGAAGAGTTTTTTATTTGCTTCATATAAGCACTACTAAAGGATTCTTTTATATAGTCTTTTACTTACTCCTTTAAGGTTATCAGACTTACATGACTAAGCAAATTGGGGTACAGCGCGGCTCACATGTTGGAAGGAAGCACGGACGCTGCTGGTCAGTGTTGGGCTTAGCCCTACGAGGCGGGAGAGCCTCTGAGAGCCAAGTGAGAATGCAGAGTCTCAGGGCCCTGCAGTCAGATCTGTGTGCTGACAGATCCCCAGTGATTTGTGGGCACATTAAAGTCTGAGAAGCACCAGGCAAGGATCACTGCTAATGATGGATAACGTGGGAACTTGGCTCATAAATCGTCTATCCAGCAGCTGAAGGCAGGTATCTGGGACAGGGAAGAGTGTGGAGTGGGGGCAAGCCCTGCCTGATGGGCCAGGCAGCTGGATCCCTAGGCCAAGCCAGGGCCCTCAGCACCACTCCCTACTCCCTGTATGGTCAGACGGAGACCAGGTATCCCCGTGCCGCAGCTTTGAACCAGCATGCCCTTGCCTCTGAGGGTCATAGACGAGTGTGAGACACAAGAAGCCAGTGATGGCCTGGATCCTCCTGAGTGACAAGAAAATGACCTACTGGCCATTTGTGTTTATCTATTTATTTATATTGTATTGGTGCTGGAGCTGGAGCTCAAGGCTAGCACACTACCACTTGAGCCATAGCTCCACTCTGGCTATTTGCTAGTTAATTGGAAATGAGTCTCATAGATTTTCTTGCCCATGCTGGTGTCAAACCGTGATCCTCAGATCTCAACCTCCTCAATAGCTGGAATT